TATATATACCATGTACATTTTTATCTTCTAATTAAAAAGTTTCGATTTTAAATATTGATATAGTATTTATAGCTTTTCAAAATAAAAGGTTTGAAGTTATTCAAGCCTGATTGACTACTTTTTAATAACTGTTCATTAAGAATTAAAAACAAACACGTTGATGTTGTTTTAAAGTTTTATTGAAAACGCTAAAAGAAAAAAGATTAGACAAATTAAACAGACTGAACCCCCTCCCCAAACCTCCCAATTTAAGAAAAATTCCCTCATACCAGGCATCTACGACTCCATCCTTTGATCCAACTTCCTGGTCCTGTTTTGTTCTCTTGATTAATAACGCCATAATAGCAAAAAGCTTAAGGAAAAAAAAAAAGATGCTCTGGGACTCCCAATAATTAGTTCTGATAAAACTCATTTGAATCCTGGAAAACTGCTCCCGTTCCAAGCATCCATCCTTGCCTATCCCTTCCCTAATCGATCCACTCATCCAGCTCCAAGGATTGGGATCCACTGAGCCACTCCTCCAATCAAAACCTTGAAATACCAGGAAAACAAAAAAATCAGAGGGAGACTGTTAGAATCAAATGTCAAAATTTTTGGGCCTAATTTCAATTTCCCCCCCATGTTCAGCACTCATGTCAGACTTCACAAAATAATCATTAAAAAAAAGAAAGACAGAAGCTACCAAGCAGAAAAACCTTGCTCCCTGATGCTAACATACTTTAGGACTTTTAAAAATGGGAGGCTCTTGTAAAAAAAGTGATTGTTTTACATTTGAGAGGTGTTACACTTACATCACAACACTTGTTTATAGGACTGCTTATTCTGTCAGAGGGTAGAGTAGTAAGTTACAGACTGTCTAACAAAAGTACAACACACGTGTCCTTGGTAAATAACATGCATGACATGGTAAAACCTAACAAAATGTTCAGTTTATGGAATATGAAGCATACCATTGCCTCGACCTCATTGCTCCTAGATGTCCTATCCTGACCATACAAATGAAATGTGCTCCACAATGGTTTTATTCCAAATCACTTTAATCCTTCTCCTCAGATGTCTAAAGGAAGACACAAGGGTAAAATACAGTTAAGTATTGGGCTCCCACTCAAAATGGCCCACCCCACATATCCAAAGAGAGGCTACTAAAAATAAAACGAAACAAAATAAATGTTCGATTTTTAACACTTGCAAAAACGTCAAGTTGCAGCTCAGCGTTTTTGAAGTTCAACAACAGTTTGTAATGTTGCGAAATCTGTGATGACAGGAAGAAAAAGAAGGGGGGAAGAGGGGGGAACACAAGAGGACAAAGCAGCTGGAAAGAGAAGGGAAGAGCAGAGAAGGGATGGGAAAAGGGGAGAGGGTGCATCTACATACCAAGATCATCCACAAGGACAACAGGACAAGAAAAGCAAAAATTAAAAGTCAACAGCTGACACCCGGAGAAACTTAAGAGGTAAAAACAGGAAGGAATACATCAAAAGGGCACAACATCGATTTGTGGGGTTTAGGAACGGGAACGAGAGCGGCTGTGACGAGGCGAGTAGCGGGGCGACGCTCTGCCACGACCCCGGGAATTGCTGCGACTGCGGCTGGCGCTGCGACTGCGGCTTCTGCTCCGGCTGCCACGGCTGCGGGAGCGTGATCTTCCGTAACTTGGGCTGCGGGGACCGTCTAATTTCACACGAATGTAAGCAGTCTCTCCCTGGCGGACACAAGAGAACTTGACATTGAAAAGACGACATTCCTTCCTCCGGCTTGAAATACAGTTGACAACAAAAACGACTCAGGTGCTGCTCAGAGTGTGTGGCAATCTCATTTTAAAAATACTCACCCGGACACAGCAAAGAATCACAATCCATGACATGTTGATCAAATCAGTACACATACCTCATGCGAACGGAATTTGGTGTTGTCCAGTTTTCGAACGGCATAGGTCATGTCCTCTTTGCGGACAAATTCTACGACTCCAGTTCCGTCTCTGTAGACGTCGGCGTAGCACACGTCACCGGCCTCGCGCATGTGGTCCTTCAGGTCCTGCCAGCTGCCACTCTGAGGAAGACCTGAACCAAAAAAATAAATAAACATTTGAACCTAAACATACTTGACCTTTTAGCTATGGTAATGAGCTGAGAGAAATATATAATTTAGACTGAGTGTAATCAGCTGATATCAGCCAATTTGAAAACAATCTGCAATGCATGTCCATACTTTAAGGGAGAATGCCCTTTTGTGCATTATTTACATTATTATTCAAGTTATTTTGAAGGTTGTTAAAGTAACTAAATAAACAAAAGCAGCATACTGATAAAAAAATTCAAAAGATGTATACGAGTCATAATAAACATCACAGCTCAACCTGTTTTAAAACCAAAAAGCCAAATTTCTACTCTAAATTTCAGATAAGTATTTTGTGATGCAGCAGTTTTATTTGGGGTTATTTATGGAGTTACCATGCTAGGAAAGGAGGCACTAATAAGGGCAAAATACTTTGACACTTTAGTCGATTATGTGCAATTTTTAGAGAAACAATTCCCTTTTTTGTTTACATATACCTTGTTTTAATAAACAATAAAAGGGTGAACTTCAAAGCTAAGAGTTTTAAAATGCTAAAAATTCCATTAGACACCTAAAAAACACTTAGGTAAAGTGATTTTGTGCATTTCAAGAAGTCCTTATACAGATAACTCACCAGATTAAAGGTTTAAATGGTCTAAACCACATGAACCATACTTCCTCTGATGTCTAAAAATACACACTGTCCTGCAACAGAGTGCTAAAAGTGGTGCAAGTTTGCACAAGATTGTCTCAAGTTTAAACAAACGTGTAAAAGACACACCACCCTGTTAACTGACTCCATGACCAGTCTGCTCACCTGAAACAACAACCCTGTACTCAGAACGTCTGGAAGGAGGTCCGTATCTGCCCCTGGGGGCTCCACCACCGGCCCCGCCGTAGCCGCCTCCCCTGGAGCCTCTGCCGCTCCGGGGGAACTCCACACGCAGCCGGTAGCCGTCATAGTCGTAGCCGTCGCGTCCGTAGACCGCGTCATCGGCGTCCCTGTCACATTAAAAAATAAATATTAATGAAAAGTTGGGCTTTAAATTGAAGACAGACAAGTTGATCGCACACATCATGCTGGGACGGCCGCCATGTTGCTGCTAATCCGTCTAATTAATCACTTAATAACAGACATACTTGAGTCACACTGGCGCCAATAAGGCGCATTTAAGCATTGCAGCACGAGCAGAGCGAAAAACGTGTATTAAAGCTGATCTACTTTTGAATTATTTACACAACACAGATATACTGTTTTATTTATAATTAAACTGTCCGTCCAGGCGGCGCGTGAGAGGAATCACAAGTCGACATGAGACCACGTTTTGTTACCAGAACAATGGCCGTCCAGGAAATAGCCAGAGCCCGGGCTCCGGCCTACGTCAGCCAGGCTGTCAACGGCACAGCTCCTCACCTCGGGTCTTCGAACTCGATGAATGCGAAAGGCGGGCCCCCTCTCCGGTTCTTCAAGTCGATGTCTCGAATCGTCCCGTACTTGTAGAACACGTCCTCGACATCTTTGGTGCGAATATCCGGGGGCAGATTACCGACGTAAATTCGGCAGTCGTTATTCCCGGCTGGGCCTCGCACAACACCCGACATCGCTGCTAACTTTTTAAAGCTCTGGTTGTTGATAAGACTCGGAGTAACTTCCCTACGTCCAAACACGAACGCAAATAGACTCTGGAAGCGTGCAAAGCAGGAAAAAAATAGAAGTTTTTTTATCAAGAAAGCGGTTTCCAAAGCCCAACAACGCGCAGGATATCAACCAGGCGGATAGCACACGATGTGGCGCTCAGCAATCCGCGCCTCTTTACTGAGGCAACACTACCCCCATAAAACTAGACACATCCGCCATATAAAATAGTTCACCAACTTAAACTTGTTCTGTATGACTGAGTGGCAGTTTAGGAACAGAAATATAAGCATAATTATTATTTAAAAAAATCTTATATTTTTAGATGTTTTATTTCTGCCACCAAATTGAAGAGATAAATACAAATACATGTATTTTAAAATGATCTATGATACCTAACAATCAAAAGTACCGTAAAAGAAAACCCTCAGGAATACATATTATAGCTAAAAAAAAAAAAGTAGTATAACTTTCATTTGACACGAACATTTGCAAAATGACAAAATCACATTGGAAAAAAATATGTAAGACACAAAACAACTACTGTAAATCATAATTCTGCATGGTGTGTGTGTACCCCCCCCCCCCCACACACACACACACACACACACACTTTTTTAATTTTAGTTTGGTTCCAAACCCAATGAGTTGAATCACTAACATCCACAATATTGTGTTTGCTTGTTTGTTTGAATTGTTTTCTTTTTTTTTCTTCTTTTAACTCATCCTATTTGTTGTTATTGTGCAATTAAAATGATATCTCAAAATGTTTGGAGCGCAGTCGTTCTGTTTTCTCAAAACCTGATGAAAATGTATTAAAAATGCATTACTTATTGATGCCATAGACCTTATCAACTTTGTATATTTTATTATTAAATCTAAATCTAAACAATTACCATTAGGTTTTGTCTTTAGAGGAAATGTCCTCTTATAAAAGGAAAGATCAAAGAACGATTTTATATAGCAACATTTTGAATGCAACATATGTATCATGTTGTGTTCAAATCAAGTTAATGTTAGAAGAGAATAAAGTTGCCTAAGGTAGTTTAAAACATAATTTATTCATGTGAAGCAATCACTTAATTAAAATTACTTGATTTTTCCTCATGCTTTAATTAGTACTTTTATTTCTTGACAAAAAAACTTGTCAGATTGATTTAGGATCCCAAAATGGTAAAAACAAAAGTGACCTCCCAGAAACCAGACTCTGACTAATCACACTTTTATTGCATTAAACAACATTAGAGAAAATAACATCACATCTTCTGTTGAGCTGATATTTTAGGCCGAGCATGCAGAAACAAATTTACACTTCATGTATCTTTACTGGTAATAATAAAACAAAACAAACAACAACAACAAAAAAGCAAATAAATTTTCTCACACAAAACTCGGGTTAAAATTTTCCACAATAAAAACATCATTTGCTATTTCTTTGACAGTTTTCTTTTTAACACAAAGTGTGGGGCTGATATTTTTAAATCAGAACTCCAGCATTTGGCACATCAGCACTGTGATATTTTGAAGCTTCAGTCAAAGCATCGCCACATGATCTGTGACTTATCGCGTTAAACGTAGTGCTAGCTGAAAGCGTTAGCGTATTCAATATGCATGGCAGGAGCCGTAGACACGCTGGCCAGCCTCGCCGCAGTTCTCACCACCGGCGTATTTCCCCTGACAGGCCAGACTGTTCACCTGCGAGAAGAGCAGCAGATGAAACGTGGCAGGAAATGTGAGAGGAGAAGACTTTTTTTTTTTTAAAAAGTACCTCTGCTCTTTTGATGAATTGCTCGGTGGCAGACTTCTCATTCTCTTTGTGACCCCTCCAGGCTCTGAGAGCGGACGCCTGCAGGGCCCGGCCGAAGGAGAAGGTCAGGATCCAGGGTTTGGGCAGGGGGCAGTTGTTGATGGCGTTGAGGTGGACCGAGGCCTCCTCTTCGCTCTGACCTCCTGAGAGGAAAGCGATTCCTGCAGGGAAGAGGGAGGGAATGAGTTCACATGGCTCAGTTTCTGCCCAGTTAACACGATAAGGAGGTCCGGGTTGACCGACCTGGGACTGCCGGGGGAACGGTGCGGCGAATGGCAGTGACGGTAGCCATTGCAACCTCCTCTGGGCTGTACTTGGTGGAGCAGCTGTGTCCAGGAGTCACCATGTTGGGCTTGAGGAGGGAGCCCTCCAGGTAGACGTGGTGGTCTGACATGGCCTTGTACACCGCAGCCAGGACCTGCAACACAAACACTTTGTCGTTTTGTTTATGAGCCTTCACCACCTTAATAAAACAAAAGATAAACTGACCTTCTCAGTGACGTACTGGCAGCGTTTCAGATCGTGATCACCATCAGGCAAGACCTCTGGCTCAATAATCGGCACAATGCCATGCTGACACAGAGAGAGTGGATCATCAGTCCGAGACACATGAATCACACAAACATCATTCATTCAGGTTGTTGCTCCACGACGTCTAACCTGCTGGCAGATGCTCGAATAGCGTGCGAGAACGTTTGCATTTTCAGCGATTGCAAGCTTAGATGGGTTGGAGTCGCTGACTTTGAGCACGCAGCGCCACTTTGCGAACACGGCGCCGTCCTTTTTGTACTGAGCACAACGCTCCGACAAGCCATCCAGACCTGAGGAGAAGCAACAACCAAAAATACATTTAGGTTATGAGGTCAGAACCTGAAGCAGGGTTCTGTATAAAAACTTATAAACACTTAATATCTTACCTATTGTAAATATCTTGTAGAAAGACATCAGAGTGGAAAAACAGAGTTTAATGCTAATGTTGATTCTGATTGAGCAAATAAGTGTAAAGATCTACAGTGTTTAACATGTCTTTAACGCTAATTCAGGGAAAGTAGAAGCCCAAAAGCCTGTGCACAGAGAAGAGCATTTGTTGGGGTGGCCAACGTTTTTTATTTGGTGGTCAAGGCTCCGCCCCTGCCTTACCCTACAGGACTCAATGTTTCATGAAAATTCTTCAAATTAAGGTCATTAGCAGGTAAGATATTAACTGTTTATAGTTCTGGAAAATATGATTTGGTGATAGGTCTTCATCATTAGAAAATAACAGAACAGTCATGTAAATTCTTGTCTCATCACAGTTGGATGTTAGGAAGCGTTACAGCCTTCCAGCCAAAACAATCCCAAACCGTGACATCCCACCTCTGACACCAGATTGTGCGGCAAAAAAAAGATATGATAAACAGGAAAATCTCAGGGAGGGGACAATTCCAAGTGGCGGAATCTAAGAGACCCATCATTGAATCAGACTTTCAACCACATTCATAACCTTTCCAACAAATATTGATCCAATGTTTTTTAAGTGCCACAATGAGGATTTTTACAGGTGAAATGAGTTAAACCAGCAGATAATCAGATAAAGATGAGTTGGTCTGACCCTGTGTGGTGGTTTCTCCACATGTTCCAGCCAGAGGAACAACTCCTTTATCAACCTGAGGAAGAAAAACACAGGTGACTTACTTCAAAGATCCCTTTTGTTTACTAGTTTGGAAAAAGTCATAAAATGATCCCAGTTTGTTCAGTGAGTGGATGGACCTTAACGCCGATCAGGATGCCCCTGTCCCGGATCATTTTAACAAAGGGTAGACCTTTATCCGAGTGCTGGTACAGAGTCTCGTGGAAGAAGATGACCCCTCCGATGCAGCTGTTGATGCGATCGTCGGCACTGAAGAGGATCTGACGGTACTGCCTGCGGTTTTCCTCCGTGTTCTCCACTCCAACTTGGGCCAGCCTCTTGGCCATGCTTCCTGCAGTAAAGACAGTAATTATCATCTTGTGTTGACAGAGTTGGGATAAGGGCCATCTCGTGCTGCATTGTAAGAATCCAGGCTCAAAGTATGTGTTGTGAATGAGTCTCAGCTACTACAGATCAAATTATAGCCATTTTGGCTGAAGTGAATTAGCTGTGGAAGTCATATTAAATTGGGTTGCCTCCAAAAGCAAATCCCTTATTTAGTGGTGACTTTCTGAGAGTTTAATTAAAACCCATTTAGTGATTTGACAGATGTTACGCTAACAGACAAATAGTTTTGACTTTTAAGCACAAATGAGCATAATATCTGCCGTTTAGTTTATAGCCATTTGGGTGTTGGGTTACAGTTGTAATGTACATCCAATTATTTAAAATCTAAAAGTCGATGGTACAAGAAAGCAGCTTCCTTTTCCCTTTCTTTTTCTCCACGGACCTACAGATTCATCTGCAGCCAGGATGCCCTTCCCTGGAGAAACTATGCGTAAAGCGGTCTCATGGAGCTCCCTCTTCTGAGCCTGGGAGAGCGCTGGGAACTGGTGCGTCATCCTGGGACCGGGTGTCCGAACAGCCTGGGGAGGGAGGGTTTGACTTTTGATTAGCTAGGAAAAAAAGAGGACAGCCAAAACCCACAAAAACATCTCATCCACTGTTAGTCAACAAGTCATGTTGAACAGAATCAGATTTATGACACAAAGGCAACAAACTGATTATTTATCTGGCTTATAATAAAACTGCTCATGCATTAACTTTAATAATTCCATTTTTATCATTACAATTAATTCTTTTTTTAGTAAACAAGTTTAATGCTGTAATCTTCAGCCTGCAGGTGCAAATCTAGGTATTTTATTAAAATTAGGTCTGCTGCTATAATCAAACAGGCATAATTATGTTTTATTGCATTTGTTGTAAAAAAGTTTTCATAACAGCTTTACTAATGATATTTAATCTATTTTTGTTTTAATAACTATGTTGACTTTAATTTTTTCCTTTTCCTCATGTTATCATGTTGCTGCTGTAATATTTTAAATGTATCAGTTTATAAAACTTGTGAATCTCTCCAGTAGTTATTGTTTGTGGCATCAGTTTATGATGATAAAAAAAAGTATGTAGTGTTTAAACGCTCTGATGTTGCTCTAAAATGATAAAAATTAAAAATAGGAGTTAAAAATTAGGCTAAAAAGATGCAAAAGTATACATCAGAGGTATGAAAACCTGAAGATTTTTTCTTATTTAAATGCGTTTGTTAGGAGTTACAAAGCTCAGTCAGATAAAATGTTTGTAATAAAAGAAAGAGAGCATCTTACCTGAGCGGGACGCTCCACAGATGTGATGCAGAGCGACGGAGCTCCTGGTCAGCTTTTGTTTGGATCCATCTGGACCGCGTCACCTCATCCTCCTGCACCTCTGGGCGGGGCTTAAAACACCCACCTTTGCTCCATATAATTCAGGGAATTTTTTTTTGATGAATCACTGCTCTATTTAAAAGACTTGAGCAGTTATGTTTCAGCTTTCTGCTTCAGAACTCAAACCTTCTTGAGTCGATGAAGTCTGTTTTTGTTCAAAACGCTGCACTGAGAACATTTGTCTGGATCACCTGCTTGATTAAACCCATCAACTCCCAAACTTAAACCATATACTCTTTCACAAATCTCTGCCCCCATTGCAGTCTAATTTAGGTATTTAAATGTCCCAGAGGAGAGTTATTTTAATCTTAATTGGATAAAATGTGCCCAAAGGAAAGTTTCCCTCCTCCTGATAATTTAACCATTTAATCCATGGGGATTGGGGCTTTTTTTTTTTTTGTCTCACGGCAATCCACGACCTCACCGGCCTTCCTGGCTTTAGAATATAAAGAAAAAAGATTCAGAAATAGAAATAATTTTGAGGCTCCACACACTGGAAATAAAAGTAAGGTCGTCAGGTGTGGTGTGGTGTGGTTAACACATTTTCACATCTATTTATAATTCAGTGTGATTTAGACAACAATGAAAGCAAACTTGTTTTGTTTTTAACAAACGGTATAATCAAATGAAGCTTTTCTCTGAAACAAAAACAAAAAGGTTTTAAATGGATTATCAGCTGCCGCTAAAAAAGGTGTGCAATGATGGTTTGGCCCGTGTTTGTCTGTTAGCAAAATATGTCATGAACCATTGGGTGAAACTTGCAAATTCAAAGATGGCTGCCGCAAACAACTGACCTTTAAAAAAACTAACACAAAAATGTTTATAATTTGGTCAGTTTGACAGATATTGAGCTAAAGTTTGGTGTGGTAGTAGCTGAAGGTTACTAATTTTATAAGATCTTCAGCATTAACTGCTGCTGTCAACCCTGTTTGTCTGTTAGCAAAATATCTCATGAAGCACTAAGCAGATTCGAATGAAACTCTCAGGAAGTAATCACTGGATGTACGTCTACAACCGATTGACTTTTTTGACTTAGTTCAAGATGGCCGAACATTAGGCCACACAGAAATGAAAATCACTGTGGTCGTAGCTATACTCTGAGCCAAACAGTTACTACTTTGTTATTTCTCAACCAAAGATGATGCTGGTTTAAAACTCCAGCAGGAAAGGTGGCAGGTGATAAAGGATTAGTTCTTTAATTTCTGATTGACGGAGCTGTTTCTTAGTGCAGCTGCAGCGTGAGACTAATTTAAGAAAAAAGTGTTTTCTGCTCCATTACGTCAGCCTCCTGTTTACTGAACCTCAGTGAGACGGTTTGGCAGGGTTTGAGGGACTTCTCTCCTCAGGATTGTGGGTCAGTGTGCCTCTGGAACCACATGTGGGTCACTGGACTGCGTGCCACAACACAGACATGCTGGACCTGCTTGAGACAGGGGCCTGAGAGGGATTCAGTGTCAGGAGGAGACTCCCATTCAGCAGATCCAGTTTTAAATAGACGCACGGCTCCATGAAGCGAGGCATTATACTCGGCTGCCTCCGCCGGGGCCTTAGACTTTTTTCTCTCTTAGCCAATTAAAATCATTTAATGACGATCCTTTATCTGGTTTTTAATTTTCCATCCTATTATAGTTATTCTCAGAGGGTTTGTGACGGATCGTCTAAATGGGCCAAACAGGCTGGAAAGTTGTTCATGATGGATCAGGTACAGCATCACAGACGGCGGTGAATAAAATTAAACATTTTAACGCATCAAACTAGATTTTTGTTTTAGAACTAATTTGGTAACATGAAAAGTTTTGGACCTTGTGGTTTCACTTTACATTTTACAGATTCTGTTGAACTCACACGCTCAAACATATTTGGTCCACCAATCTAAATATGACCTAATTTAGTCTAAACCCCGATGAACCTGGTATATAAAAATTTAGGTCGGTATAAATTTTTTTTTATCTCATCTAAAATAATTTGACGTGCATATCCTTCAAATACAAGTCGAAGAAATCATTTTATATTAAGAAACTTGACATAATAAACAGGATTTTACTAATTTTGTCACATAACCAGCATATTTTCTTTTGGATTTAGCTCAGCCAAAATGAAACAGGAAGTGACATCAAAGGGGAACTCTTTAAGAAAGAAAACCCTCTCACTCTGATCTTTGTTTATTGAAACATTGTTTGAACTTTTGACTCTTCTGCATCTCTGATAGTGACTCAAAAATGATCTAAACATCAGATTCTTCTCTACACTCTGTGTTGTTAGACATTTTATCAATTGCTCATATGCGGACATTCCCCTTTGACATCACTTCCTGTTTCTTTACATGCAAACATCTCAACAACTGTTCATCTCAGCGGAGTGAAATTTGTTTTGCAGTATGTTATCGGTGTTGTCTTTCCAAAAATGAAATCAAATTTATGACAAAAATTTGATGTCGCAGTCACTTTAAGGTGGTCTACATCCCGTTAACCCAATAAAAACCCAGTTAGACAAAGACCAATTTAATCTAATGTTTTCTAAACATGAACTAAATTCAGTCTAATCTGATTTAATTAAAGTCGAGCCTGACCAAATCAGTTGTTGGTTCAAATCAATTTGCTGAAGGTAAATATGCTGTAGTCTGTGTGCAGTTTAACAGAACTCTAACCCAGTTTATGTTCAGCTGAATAAAAGTTACTCACTCTGATGCCAGTTTACAGTGTCTTTGTCTAAAATATAGCTTTTAAATCCAAATGATCCAAAACTGTTTTGGCCTCAGACTGTGGTTACTGCAGCTGACAATCAATCAATGGAAAAATCCTAAATCTGTTTGAGTCAAAGACAATGAGGAGTTCTTTGATTTAAAGCCTGTTTGTCAACTGATTCTGGGGGGAAAAAAAAGACAAATCTGAGAATCAGCCACGAACTTTATCCAGAACTTTCAATAGATGGCAGCAAACTTCCTTCAACCCAAATCTGAGATTTGTTCACATTAGTCAACTGTGCATTTGTGGTGCATGATGGAAAACTTAACATGAGCCCCAACAGCACTGGAGTGAAAAGGAAGAGATTAAACAGCATCTAATCAGAATGAACTCATGGATGAAGAGGTGGTGCTACGCCTGCAGATGGATAAATGGATGTTTGAGCTGCAGCTGCAAAAAAACAACTAAGAATCAGAAGAGCAAAAACATAGAAATGATTTGATCAAAGAGAGTCTGATGTCACAGACACATTTATGCACACCTGTGATCCACAGGGAAACCACTTAAAAACACTTTTTATTGACAGATAAACAATGAGCCACTGAGCTGATAGAAACATTAAAACAGCTGCTGCCAAATTCTTCCATAATTAAACCACATCTCATGACAGAGACAGCTGCACATCAGCAGAAAACCAACCGTGGTTACAAAAATATCAAATACTTTGCAGGGAAAGTGCTTCAGTGTTACGGTTACAAAAATGCACACTCAGCAGTTGGCTGCTACATGGTTTCTGACACATCAAGTGGCACTTTTTACGACATAAACGTGTTTTTGTTCGTGAGAAATTGCACTGAGGTGAGGTACAGTAAAACGGCACGCTGACGGATGCAGACGCTCTTCATAAAATACAAAACATTTTTATGACAAACGGCCTTTCCTGTCGGAGTGACGGTCATTCAGCCGCGAGAAGCTTCCGTTAACTGTTAAAATCGTGTTCTTATGCATCTACTTTTAACATTTAATAACTCTAATGTTTACAGTGGTCAGCAGCGAAGGAGCTTTCGGTTCATCCTCTCAGGTTTTCGACCTTCGTGGCGCTCCTGAACCAGCAGGACGGGGGATTTGAGTCGTGCATCAGCAGAAGCAGAGGAAACGTCAACAGTGAAGTGCTAGCTACAGACTGAGCTTCCTCGCTACATTTAAAGCAGCCACAGTGGTCGTAGTTGTTTCTGAAGTTTAGTGAAGGTTCAATGGCACAGTAAAAACTTGGTCGACGTTTGAGTTCAGGCTCTAAAACATGTCCAGCTCATGTGATGTCTACTAAGAAAGAGGAGTGATCATCTGCAGGTAAAACTGTTTTTTTTTTTTTGTTTTTTTTTTTCACTTGCGTCGGCTGAAGATGCTCTTCTTGCTGGAGCTCCTGTCTGTGGAGCTGAGGCCGATGAGGAGGCGAGCCTTCTCGTCTTCCTCCTGCTGCTGCTGCTGGTGGTTGTTGTTGTCCGACTTCCCTTCGGACACCTTCCCGCGCAGGTCCGAGCCTGAAGCCGGCTTCAGGCGCAGCTTCTCCTTGATCACCTGGAGCAGCAGGAAAACAAACACACAAACTTATGGCCTCAAACATTAACTTGTAGATAAATAATGTTTATGTACGCAGGGCTGATGGTGGGAAAAAGAAAAAGAATCCTGAACTTTTTTTTCTACCCTTTCCTTCCTCAGCCTGTCTGCTCCTGTCCAGCTAACTTTAGCTAACTTCTGCTAACTTTAGCATCTGCCTGTGCAGCTAGCTAGAGTCAGTGAACATTCTTCTGCAGGTTTATCTCCTCTGACAGCTGGTTTTTAAAACTTAATCACAGTCTCCAGTTCTTTTTCAAACTTTTAACAAATATTTTATTTTATTTAGACCACCACTCAATCTTCTTCTGGATCTGTCCCGCCCCCACATTATTTCTGAGTCTGGTTAAAGTGAAAGCTGCGCCTCTGTCAGGTCCTGAGAAATGCTTGTTAAAATTGGCGTACCTGTGCTACGAGTGCTTTCCGGCTGTCTCGTTTTACCGCCATGGCGAAGTCGAGCCAGGTCCACGTGTTGTTATGATACTCCAAACAAGGCAGGACCAGGTTCAGGTCTTTCCAGTCCACGCTGCTCTTTTCTCCCTGAGGAGATAACAAACCAGAAAACTGAAGACACCGGACTGAGAACAGAAAATAAAACTTACAAAAAAAAAAACCTTATTAGGCAACAACAAATGAGTCATTTACTCTTACATAGTAAAGTATTTTATCTTTGTTCTGACCCACAGAGCTGAAACAGCAGCATGAGGAAGCTGCAGGAACCCACCTTGTAGCTGACACACAGAGGCACTTGGGGAATCTTAATGTAGATGAAAGAATTGTTCATCGCAGCTCGCTCCTTCATCTTATCGATGTCATCGACTGGATGCTGGAGAGATAAAAACAAACACTTATTTTACAGGTTTATCTGAGGTCTCAGCTAAATCTGCGAGGCCTCCGCACCTCAGGAGCTTTCCTGAATGACCTCCTGACCCCGGTGGTGCGGTTCAGTCCTTGGGTGACACTTTTGCTGGGGCCCATGGCGCCCATGGTGTCCTCTGATGGCAGCCGGGGTTTGACAGTGATACCTGCGACACGGAGCACACAGACATCATAGCTGTGGCCTCCGAGTGACCCTGCAGACTACATCTAATACTCCCAATGAGTAGCACGCACATACAAATACACAATGGTCAAGAGGTGTCAGAGCCTTTTACGGCCCTGAGGGATTTGACACGTGAGTAACTCAACACTGTCTGATGGAGAAAATGGATACTGATCGGTGTGAAAAGCAGGACAGCGATCGCACACAGAGATGCTTTCATGATACAACATACCAGTCGTAACCATTCTAGACTTGTCCTCCTCATCGGCGACCTCTTCCTCCTCAACGTTACGTCCCGGGAAAAAGAATCCCATCATCCGTTTGAAGAACTGGTACATGAGCTGGATGGTGAGCGGTACCACGTTCACCTAACGAAGCAGAGAGCGTTGATGTTAAAACTCCACGTGCGGAGCCTCCCGGTGTCTGCGGGCAGCGGATCCTCACCTCGAAGTGCTCCTTCACCGAGATCCCTCCCACCGGGGGGCGCACTTTGCTGAAAATACGCAAAGCGAACTGGCGCCCCAGC